GTTCAAATTCCGTTTGGTTCCAATGTCTTCGTTCTGTAGGAAGCCTTTCAAGATCTCTTTCAGACCAATGCCATCATATGAGAACCAAAGTGTAGTTTGAATCTGATCATCAAGTCATGGTAGTTTCAACTTACTATTTGATTAGTGGGATATAATACCATTTCGAAACCCGTACCAGTGTCGTACATGTATTGTTTCCTTGCAGGACAATAGTGGTACAATACATATCCCATGTCCCTGGTCGGAGTAGATAAAGACACAACCTCAGAAAAGGGGATGAATGACTGACAGGCTACTTCTGTATAAATTGCACCTTTCCGAATATCTGATATCTGGTTAAGTGCTTGGATCAGAACAAGTAGGGAGAGACAAGACATAGGGTGAAGACACCGACGAACTTTCAGAGGTCTAAAAGATAGTCGAGAGCCTCTTTCCATGGTCAGTCTGCACCTAACTAAGTACTATCTATCTAACTACTCACCAAGGTAGTCATCAAATGATGACAACTGTAAATAACATTCCAAGGCGGGTGGGACAATTCTTTGAGAGAAAAAAAAGGTTGACGGGCCGACGCTAATAGAAGCATAGGAATACAAGGTCCTTGCCCAGTGCACGAAATTTCCGGCTTCCGGCTCCTACGGAGGGGACTCCATATCTAAATGTTAAAAAGTCCGCGGTGGTGCAACTGGTTCACGGACTTTGTGTATTGAGCAGTCAAGGGAAGATATATTAGTTAGACTAAATCATACTACAAGTGAACAGATGTTCGCTACAGAAGACATTCAAATCATCGATTTCCCTGCCTTGCCATCGGTTTTGATGCTGTCAGCAAGTCACCTGCGAGGACAAACGGGTATCATGAATGTAATATCCAGTAATAGTTACCGGAAGTACATTGCCAATACAAGTGGGACTCGAGGAAACAATACCACATGGATTCATACCTGTCAATTGAAGAACAAATGATTTCCATTGATAGCCAAAGTAGTGGACGGTAAATAAAAGAGGCGTAAATTAAGGATCGTTTAATCTTCACTTATTTTACCTGCAATTCAACTACCATCTATGAAGCAGTCAAACAGATTGGAAGGTCAGATTTTAATTTTATGAGGGGGGTAAAATAAAACCAAGAAAAAGCAAAGAGAACAAGAGGAGGACCCTCGGTCGACTAGCGATTCAACAAGCCGAATCTCCATTGCCAACCAGAACAATGCAAATCCGTCCGATGCCCACCCTTTTTTTTTCTTGAACCTTTCCTAAACAGGCTGGAGACTGACGGGTTGTGTGTGCGTGTGCGGGTGGACTACTTGGGAAATACTAGCATGAGCTTGTGGTGGTGTGCGCTTTTTCTCCCAAGGTGGAGAGGACGGAGAACTCGATTCGAAATTTTTTTTTTTATCTCACACCTTTCCACCTTAAGGTTTCTTTTTGTTAATTTCCTTTTTGGACTCCGTCCCACGACCGCCATGTAATTTCTGGCGTCTGATCGATGGGGGAGGATACGTAGATAGATAGATAAATAGGATCTAGTACGGAGTTTCTATCTAGTGATGGTGATGGTGGTGGTGGTGTCCATTCCGAATGGAAGTTTGCGGATGGATTGATTGATTGATTAGTGATTAGTTTTGTAGTGAGTTGGTTAGGAGTGATAAATGGTTTCCATTATTATTACCTAGCAGCTTTTCTGGCTGGCTGTCTCTCTCTCCCTCTGAATCTGCGTTTCTTATCCCCGGGCCAGAAAAAATCATAATATCCACGCATCTCGCTTCCCTTCCCTTGCCCCCCCTCTCCCTCTCTCTCTCTCGCACCCTCTTACTCGCTCCTCTTCTTTTCTTGGTCCTCCCCTCTTCCACCCCCGGTCCTCCTCAATCTCCCTGGACGTTGCACCTCTGCTACCCGACGCCTTTCTCCTCTCCCTCCTCCCTCCCTCTTACTCACTCTCTCACTCTCACTCTCTTCCTCGCCATTCTTCTTCCCTCCCTCTCCCCCTTCCCTGTCTTATTTCCCGCACCCACCCCCACGCCTTCTCCAAACCCTTTTTAAATCCCTCACGCCAGACCTTTTATTTGTCTGTCGTGCCTCCAAAGGGTGAGAAGCCGTTCGTCTCGTCCCTGTTCTGCCTCGTTCGCTCGTGGTAGAACCGTCCGGAATTTTTTTTGGCTCCAGGAGAACACCCATTTGCTTTGGTAAGTCTACAATTTTCTATGAATTTTACCGTCCCGTACCATGGTTATTTTTATTTTATTTTTTCTTTCTTTGGGCCCAACTCGACCATGAGACATCACCTCCATGATCTCTGGAGGAACGCAAGTTCACAACTCATCCATTATATCTCTCTGCATTTGCTTGGCTTTTAATCGAAGTTGGTGTCTTGCATCAATTAAAGTTCGTTGCGTCCGCACCTCATTCCTGTCATGTGAAGAGCCCGGAAGGAAAGGGGATAAGATCGAAGGCAGGGAGAAAAAAAAAGTTCGATACCTAAGGAGTCAAATTGGGAGATCTAATAATAAGTCCGATCGATGTCATCGCTGGTCGCCATCCGCCATTTTGTCACTCCTGTGCGCTGACTCGGCCACCTGGCCCGTTTTATTTTCGGCCTCCACCTCGCTCTAGTCGCATCTTGCTTTTTTTGTCAATGCCGTTCAGATTTGTTGTCGCACCCAAAACATTTACTCACCCGTCATATCCAGACAGGCCTCTCTCGATTGCCTTCGAGCGGATCCATCCCCATCGCATCAAAGCTTGACTCCGTCCGTCATCGTACCACGTTCTCCTCCGGTAAACATGTCATACTACGAGCCTCAGGGTTGGCAGGCACCGGCCGCGCGCCAGGCCTCTTGGGAGCAACCTGCTCCCCCATCACGGTCAGGTATGGATGGCAACACACCGATTCCAACTGCGTGCATCACTGTTCTCAATACTTACGACAATTCTTCCTTACAGGATCGAGCTCCGTTTCCCAGCGTGACGAAATCCCGGCGTTTTCTTCTCAGTTTGATGGTACGAATAGCCGTCCCCTGCCTTATTTCGCCTTGTCTGGTGCCACGACCATCCAGTAGCGCGCAAGCACATACACTGTTAGCCGTGCCGGAATTTGTGGCCTGTTCCGTTCTGTGACAAACGTAAAATAAACATTGGGTTGGGTGCTAACACATCCATCAGAGGTCGACCGTGCTATCGATAACCTCGTCAAGAGTGGAAAGCTGTGGGCTGCACCCCGGAGGGATTCTATGCCCATGATGATGGGCCGTCCCTACCCCGACTACGGTATGATATTGCGAGATCACTTGATTACATTCGACACGTTCTAAACTTCAGTAGCAGATCCCCGCATGGTCAACTCCATGAGCCAGCGTCATCACTCGATCAGCGAGTTCGATTCCCGGATGCATCCCAGTCCCAATGTCCAGGGCTTCTATGCCTCTCAGCGTTTCCAGGGTCGCCCCAATGAAGTAGAGCAAATGATGCAAGCGAAGCGTCGGATGGCAGCACAGCGTGAGAGGGAGCTCCGCAACTATCACCAGGAGCAACAGTACAACCGAAGTACGTGGTAGCATCTGTCTCTGGAGCCTTTTTCTGCACCTGCATCTTTCTTCCCCAATATTCCCCATACATACTTCTTGGCCCATGTGTATTTGTTGGCTTGTATATTACGTTGGGACATGGCTCCCGCTTCGAACATGGTTTTAATTCTTTTCTTCTTCTCAAAGGCCTGCTTGCCGAAATGTCTGGAAACAAGTCCGATCGCTCCCTCAGCCCGGCCGCCATGAGCGAAGAAAGCCGCCGGGAACTACTCGCTCGTCAGCATAGGGCTTTATACGGCAACGACAGCCCTGCCTTCTTCCCTCCCACCGGTCTCGCCGACGACGGTACACGTTCCGAAAGCCAGGCAGGTGGCACGCCGACCTCCTCGACCGGCGTCCGTGGTGCCTCTCCCCGCAACGTTGATCCGTTCGGTCTCGCACAAACCCCCGTTCAGGGTGGCGCAGACAGTATCGGTCAGGCGGCCGCCGGCGCTGCCTCCTTGCAGTCGCCTTCTCGTGCCAACAGCACCTCCTCCCCCAGCTCTGCCATCAACCCTGTTTTTGGCAAATACGACGGTGCCGACCAGCCTGTAACCTCGACTTCGTCTCCCGGCGGTGCTGATTCTCCTTCATCGAGACAAGCTCCTTCCAAGTCCATGGCTGGGCCGATTGGCTCCGTTGGCCCCATCGGGACCCGTCCTCTGCCCCAGTCTCATGCGGGACAGGTCTCCAACCCAGCGCTGAACAAGCGCTCCACGACTCCTCTGCCTTCTCCCTTGGGATTCGGTTTCACTGCGGGCGATGGCGCCTCGGATCGGTCTGTTCCCTCCGTGTCGACCGCACCCTCTGCTGCGGCTGCGACCGCTGGTGTCAAGGATACATCCGGTGGAGTTGGCCTTGGCTGGGGCAACGGCAGCGGTGTCTGGGGTTCCAAGAACGGTCTCGGAGTTCAGGCATCGGTCTGGGGTTGAAAAGTAGAGGGCGGATAACTAACATCACGCATTATTTGTTCGGCATGTGTTCGCTTCTGTGCAGTGGCGTTTTAAAGAGAGGGGTTTCGTTTTGATACTATTGGGAAAAGAGCATGGTACATATTCGGAAGAGGCGGTGGTGCAAGAGTACGTCTTTTGATTTTGTCTAGCGCTCCGTCACATGTGGACTGTTAATTTGGTACATGGCTGGTTTACTGACTAGGGGACTTGGTTGGCCTGTTGGTTTCTGGAGTCGGTATTCCCCATTTGGTGTGTTTTTTTTTGTGCTTGCATTGATGGTTTGACACTGTGGTTTTGGTTTTTTATCGTTTTGATTTTCCATTGGTTCCTGCATCCTTTCCACTCTGCTTTTTTCTCTCTTTCGTCATGACCAGCCACGACCTGCCAGGTTGGGGTTTGTATTTACCTTCAGGGAGGAGTGTACGTCTCGGGCTCTTGTTTCCCACTCATTCACGGGGGGTTCAGGTGTTATTCTATCATCATTCGGGTCTGGTTGCGAGTTCGGCCGAAACGTGCGGGTTTTGTTCAGCAACTGGGCTTTTTAGTTTGGGTATGGAAAAGGTTGATTGATTTTTGTGTCTTACTGCGTTTCATGTGTTTTTTGGGGACATTGGCAAAAAAAGGAACATTCGGGGATGCAGGCAAAACATCAAAGAGTTAACGGAGTCTGATCTCATGTTTTTATCAATGGTCATATACTATTTGCCTTTTCCTTCTTCATCATCCCCCTCCCATCCGTATCCTCAGCACAGCACAGCACAGTATAGCACAGGTATCAAGCCAAAGCCTCCCTAAAAAACCGCACCAGCTTGGGCCCCGACACCTCCAACCGATCATACAAATCAAAATGGCCCATCCCAGGCACAACAAACAACTCCTTGGGCTCCCTCGCCAACCGCACCGCCTCCTCGCTATAATGCAACGTCTCCGCCTCCTCCCCAGCAATCATCAACACCGGCCTCGGCGCAATCAACCGCATAAACGCAAACGAATCATACACCACCATCCGATCATAACTCTGCAGGGGAACCCTCTGCGTCGACCGTTCATGTCTCCCCCTGCTAGTTCCATAATACTCCGCCGCTGCAGCGAAAAACGAGTCCACATTATCAACATTATCTCCTCCGTCCTGCACCATCCGCAACACCTTCTCCGCATCAAACATCTTCGGCGCCTCTTCCCCATCCCCATTCATAATCCTTCTATTCCTCTCCCCAGCCGCACCCCCCAACACCCCCCCAATCACCTCCTCCCTCTCCAATAATCCCCTCCCCACCCCACCACACTTACACATCCCCCCAACACAAGCCGCCGACACCGTCGCCACGGCCTTAATCCGCAGGTCACCCGCCGCAGCGAAACAGACGTACCCGCCCGACGCGCAGATGCCCAGCACGCCGATCCGCGTAATGTCTACCCCCGGGACAGAGGTCGAGAGATACGTCACTGCGGACTTGATGTCCTCGACGCGCTGGAAGGGGTCTTCGAGGCCCCGGGGGGTGCCGGTGCTGGTGCCTTGGTAGGCGGCGTCGAAGGTGAGGGTTGTGAAGCCTGCGAGGTGGAGGTGGGTGGCGTAGAGAGTGGTGGTTTGTTCTTTGACGCCGGTCATGGGGTGTGAGAGGATTATGGCGGGGGTTAGGGTGGTGGTGGAGGAGTTGGTTGGGGGGTGGTGGTAGAGGTGCGCGGAGAGGGTGTGTGTGGAGGAGGGGAAGGTTATGGGTTTGGGTGTGGGTGTGGGAGTAGACATAGTTATTGAGGTGGGTGAGGTGCAGTGGTAGTAAATGGATTGTACTAGGAAAGTTGTAGTGAATGATTGGATTGGATTGGTGGTGGTGGTGACGTCCAGGTCAAGGAGTAGTAGTAGCTAGTAATTATATAGTTGGTTGCTGCTTCGGAGAGTGGTCGGGAAGTCCGAAGATTTTCGGGGTTGGAGATTCTTGGTTGGCACGGGTGGATGACGACGGATATAGGTGTTAGGACGGGATTTGAGATACTGCTTGTTGTTTGTGGGATTAGTGAAGTTATCTAGTGGTGGTTAGGAATGGAAATGGGATTGAAAGCTGTGCGTTGTGGTGGATACTAGGTGTGGTGTTGGGATGATATGGAAATACAATACTACTTGGTGTATTGGATGCCACAATTAACTAAATAGTAGTAGTACTAGGTCTTACTGTGTCTGATAGTACTACTTTACTGACTGTTGTCATTGTTCAATGGTCAGAAGCAAGATAAGAAAAGTGTGTAATATACCAATGCTAGTCCCTTAATATATGATGTCGTCGTCTACCAATTCTTCTAACCTAAAGGTCTGTCTGTCGACTGGCAGGTAGCATAGGGTCTCGCTCAGAACATGTTGTAGATATGGAGTCGCTACGACTCCGCTCAGCAGCAGCCTCGATCTTTCTGCGTGCTGTAAACAGTCCCGACACGCCACGTTCCTGATTCCGTCCCAGCCAGGGTTTGCGTGCCTCTCCCAGCACGCGCCGTCCCAAGTAGTATATGAGCTGCCCGAGGATGATGAGGCCGAAAGCAATCGGGTACATCCAGTGGATTGTGTAGTGAAACACCCCCACCCCGATGAGAACACCCCAGAAGTTCATCGTCAGCATCGAGATGTTGAAGAATGCCGCGGATGACAGCCGGAATAGCAGCGGTACCATACAATAGAAAGACGCAAGACACAACGTATATCCGGTCAAGTAGATACCAACCTGGCTGTTCCAGGTCGCATTTTGGAACGAGCTACGGTCGAAAATGCCGGCCTGGATGCCATTTATGACCATGCCGTACATGGCCATTTGACCCAGGACTTCGTACACCGGGGCCGTGCTGACGAAAAACTCCTCACCCGTATTGGCAAGTCCGTAGAATGTCGCACCCAGGAGCGCGAAGAGGTCGCCCTTGATCAGGTCCCCGCGCGAATAACCCCCCTCATCGGCACCAGTGATGCGGTCCGAAGCAATCAGGACGCCCATGCCGCCAATACAGATCAGGATACCTAGCACCTGGGTGATATGGTAACGCACGCGCAGGATCGTGAAGGACACGATGACCACGACCGCAATAGCCCAGAAATTTATCAGCTGGGCACTCAGCATAGTCGTATAGCGATAGGCCAGCACAATGAAATAGTTACCTTCCACGTCGCAGAAGGCCAAAAAGATATCTATTCAAGATCCGTAATTAGAGAGACGTTGGGGAAGTGTAGGGTATTTACGTATACAGTGAGACTTACATTTCCAACCGTGCCGGAGCACCACTCGTATCCAGCCATTCAGACCATAACGGTATATGGTATATGGGGTAAAGATAGCGTTGAGCAAAAAGTAGTTGAAGAATGTCTGAAAAGCCGGAATTGAGCTTCCCTCGCTGACTAGTAGTGTACTAAAAGTGCTACAGGCAGTGTTGGTGATAGCCAGAACCTGTCTGTGTGACAAGTTAACCATCGACCACACCTTGGTGCTTCAAGCATCTTAACTGTAGCACTTACCCAAGGAAAAGGGTAATGTAGAACTCTTTTGTCGCAAGGTAAGCAAGGACATTGTCTTCTTTCTCAACATGCGTGACAGGCGCTTCTGGTAGGTAATCGGCGCTCCGAGGAGCCTCTAATATTGGCTCAACCTGCTCGGATGATTGAGCAACAGGTATGTAATTAGCGGGTGGTGGAGAGGATCTCTGAGCGGCAAGCCGAGCAGCCCTGGTATCGGACATCTCTGATAAGAGATACAAAAATTTGAGTTTTTGAGCCGGACAAACTTGAGACTGATATGGTTCTTAGGAACGACTGGGTGACTTTATAACCAAGACGAGCGCAAAGCCCCCAAAAGTCGCTCGTCTATGGCGATGGCCAATCCGGTGACAACCTGAGAGAAGCGAAGAGTTATCGAGATATAGGTGCCCGTAGGAAGATACTGCTGAAGCTGGAAGTAGATCGATCCAACGTCAAGGCTAAAGCCGAGGTCAAGGCGGGGAACATTCCTTAGGTAAGACAACCGTGGATCGGATCTCGCCGCTATCCCTTTTGCAGTATGATATGCCAGGTCGCTTCTGCAGCTATCTATACCCTGTGAGATTGTGATACCATTGAGAGCGAGCCGAGGTTGGTCACAGATGGCTCGGTATTTGATAATCAATCGTGGGATTCAATGACCCGAAGATAGATAGCTCACCGCAATGCCATAAGCACCTAATGTCTTAATGTACTTGGTGCTGCAAGATGGTTATGGCAGAGACAATAACTAAATCTAGGAAGGCGCAATGGAATTTATAGCAAGGCATTTGCAGATCGATATGCATAGCAGACTGGGAGCCAGGGATATACACGATGGAAATGAGGTTAGAAGTTATCGCCTGGTGAAGGCACAAATTTACTAGAAGAGGAAAAAGATCAGGTGATACATGTCCTAAAAGGGAAAGAAGCGGAAGCGGCTTCTAGAAAAGTGCCCGTTCCAGTCAAGTCACACCCCAGCCAGAATGGCAGCTGCTGCGCATCAAAGCTCCCTCGGATGCTGCTGGTTCAGATTTTGGGCCATTCTGGGCAGCCCTCGAGCTTGAAGTAGGCACTAAATCCGCGATGTGGGCTCGAATCAAAACCAAGTGGAGACCCTCCGACCATTTCGTTCCATTGCAGTTTCAACTTTGACAGCTTGCATTGCGATAGCCTAGTCATTTTATGCGCATCATAATTGCGACCGCTAACCATTGGCAAGATCATCTTCATGTAGGTATTGACTATTTAGGGCGTTTCGTTCGAAGGACTATATGAAGGACTATAATGTCTCTCCCAATGAAGCATTTATATACACTTCTTGCATGGCCGATGCATACAAAGTGCTGCAAAACGGATAGAGTATTGTACGATACGTGCGTCCTACTAGATTTACAGAAGCGTTTCTGGAAGAGAATGGAGGAAAGCCAAAGAGAAGCTGTGTACAAATAAACACGACCGCTTTCCAGCAGACCCCTAAGCATTGGCTTTGCGTGAAGTGATATCAGCACACTCCTGCGCACATTTCTTAATGTGTGACGACTCGATGCTTAGCCATCGCATGGGATTCCCGAGATAGCAGGAACTGGGGACATAGTATCATTGTAAACTATTCCACTGAATCAGGGAGGCATGATAGATAGCTGTCGCCCGGGGATAGCGGGTACTGCAAAGCAGGTGACGAGCGCATCGTTGCACAGATCAGGCAGGATTGGAAGTGGACAGTTCGGTCGATGCCCAACATGGAGATGCTCTGACGTTTCGTGATTATTACTAGTTTCCATGAACTCTGATGTCGGAGAGGGGTCTCATATGCGTTGCCGAGGAATTCTACTATGCGGGTTGTGGGAGGAGACGATCAAAAGCATTGTGATGTTTCATGAACCGGTGATGCCCATCGGTTATTGTCCAGGCATGGAGATTTTACATAGTTACAATCGGCGGTGGGACGGGCCCAGGCAAAAAGACAAGAGACGTGGAGACCGACTGGGCCAGACTTTGTTTGGTTCGGGAGGAAAAGGATTATAATTAGAAACTCCAGGCTCCGAAGGCCGGGGGAGGTATGACAACAATGGCTACTGAGGATCACTTGAGAGTTCAGACCCTCGGTGTATAGGCTGATTTGTATCTACACTGTGTACAGTAATTGTGTATGATTTAATTTATTTTTCATCAATATAAGTCTTTGTAGGGTACAAAATTGTCAGACAGAGTGGACCTGACATTTAACAACCCCTGAAACATTCTGAGATTTGTTAAGCTTTCTGGAATCCAACCAACTTTACCTGACATATAGAAAGGCTATTTAAAATCCTCTAGTAATATCTAGTAGTATAGTAGTAGAATACTTCCCCAAATATGTATACGGCGGGAGCACGTCATTTGTAACCAGTTGACCCCCCTGGTTGACGCTGGTTCCCTTCGGTCGCTTCCCTGCAGATCCCCGTCTCGCGCGTCTTCGGCTCGTCTCCTTTCTTCAGGACATCTTTAACTACTATAAACTATAAGTTAGTAGTAGTGGCTGTGACTCACTATCATGAAGACTTTTGAATAGCATGATCGCATTGCTTTGCCGAGTCACATCAGCTCCAGACGCCTAGCTCTCGAGCTTGTTCCCAAGACTATCGTTCCAAGCAAGTCCGATTCCTCCGAAAGCGCTGCTAGCTGGTGTCCCCGGCGTCCAAAGCAAGCAACAAGCAACCAGATCCTTTCTCCCAGTGGCTTCCTAATCTCCGGTCGCGTGTGCTGGGTGAATCTCGTAGCGCGTCGGCACCAAACGCAAAGAACGGATAAGAGACAGAAAAAGTGCCAAAAAAGATAGAATAGAGACAACAGCGCCAACCACAGCCGAGGCCGTCAGGTGGTCCCGACCCCAAAGTTCAGGATCATCATCCATCATCGCATCCGCAAAAGCAGCGCCAGAGCAGAGCAGAAGCAGAGCAAAAGCAGCCAAAAAAGCACAACCTTCATCAGTCCATCCATCCATTGTGCTTTCCCTCGCACACCCAACATCACCCGAACTTATTATTATTATTTTCATTATTATTTTTACCCTTGCCCCATCCATTCTCAGTTCAGTTCAGTTCCCCCATTCTTTTCCATCCTTTCCAACCTCTTTCCCCCCCTCCTAAGTAGGGCCTCTTCGTCATCTTTGACTTAGCTTCTTCGCAAGTCTTTTACATCATTCTTCCCCTTCCCTCCGACCAAACTTCCGAACTTTCAAACTTCCAAACAACAACCCGCCCCCCCCTCTACCTCCACCCTTCCCTTCATTCTTCTTCTTCTTCCCTTCTTCTATTCCTTTTTTTAATTTTAACCCTTTGCCTTTGTTCCCCACTTTCCTTCCCTTTCCGACCCCGAAACCAAACCAACCTAACCTTTTCCCCCCCTCCCTCCTCCCTCGTCCAATCTGGACCCAAGCCGCGGTCCGTCTTATCATTCCGCCTTCTCGGGGCTCTCCTCGCGCCGGTGCACACTCGTTCCTGAGTTGTCCCGGAGTGACGAGACGCCACCTCGCCATTCTGCCGGACCATGGCGTTGGAGGTGCAACCACCCAGCGATCGCAAGCGGGTGAAAGTTTACGAACTCAAAGATAATGACTGGTTTGATCGCGGGACGGGTTTTTGTACAGGGCAGATCCTCGATGTGAGTACCGGTCGCCGCCCGTGTGTCTGGCCGCAGCGCGATCTCCGTCGCCGCTCCTCGGGCGCAAACATTGCGGCTCTCAGGCGCGCGTGCCTCATTTCGGCTGGCTGGTTGCTAACACTTCCGTCTCTGTTCCCAGGATGAACCGCGGATATTCGTCGAGTCGGAGGATGAGCCTAATCGTGTGCTCCTGGAGACCAAAATCTCCAAGGATGACGGCTATCAGAAACAACAAGGTCCGCTGCCCCTTACGCCTTTTGCTGCATCGCACGCAGCGAGTGAGATCGCAGAATGCGAGCTGACACTTCCGCGACATGATCTAGAAACGTTAATAGTATGGACCGAGCCAAATGGGACGGACATGGCGCTGAGTTTCCAGGAAGCGGAAGGGTGCGCCGTGATCTGGTAAGGCTTGCACATGCCATCCAGGAGCTTTGCGGCAATGAATCCAATCCATCGCTGACGGCGATATAGGAATTTTGTGACTAGCGTACAGCAGCATCTATTGAACTTGGCACCAGGAGGTTCGTCTTTACCTATTGCTCGCTTACATCGCGCTTTTCCGGTTGTCATTGCTGACCAATTTCACGTCTGGTGCTCCAGAAGATGCTCTGTCAGACGAGATAGAAAGCTACCAGTCGATCATGCTGCCTCCACCCGAACTCGGGAACCTGCCCGAGATTGATCATGTTATGAGGGCCGCTAGCATTACCCAGGCCGGACGTGATGCGCTATCGAAATTCGTCATCCGAGAAGAGTACATCCCTAAGCTTATCCCGTTAGTCACGATGGCCGAGGATCTCGAAAGTCTCTCCGATCTACATCGCCTGTGCAATATCATGAAGTCGCTCATCCTTCTCAACGACAACACCATCATCGAGACAGTAGTTACAGATCCTATCATCCTTGGCGTGGTGGGAGCATTGGAATGTGCGTATACCGGTATCCTCCGGACTGACCGTGTTGCTGACGGATTTCAGACGACCCCGAGTTTCCACACCACAAAGCGAACCACCGGCAATACCTCGCAGACAAGTCGCGCTACAAGGAAGTTGTACCTATCAAGGATGCCTTAATTCGCCGCAAAATCAGCTACACTTGGCGCTTGCAGTATCTCAAGGATGTGGTCTTGGCTCGCATTCTAGATGACCCGACTTTCTCCGTTCTCAATTCCTTGATCTTCTTCAATCAGGTCGAGATCGTCAACCACATCCAGGCAAATGGACCCTTTTTGAAGGAATTGTTTTCAGTCTTCGACCCAAGAAGCGCGGACACCAAACGCAAGGAGGACGCAGTCCAGTTTCTCCACCAATGCGCTGTCATCGCAAAGAATTTGCAGGCGCCGGCGCGTGCCAATCTCTTTGCGAACTTTATCAACCATGGCCTGTTTGCCGTCATTGCTTTCGCCATCAAACACCCCAAACCGGCTCTGCGTACGACTGGAATTGATATCCTAGTGGCACTCCTGGACCACGACCCCGTGATGATGCGTGGGTATATGCTGAAAGCCGTCAACGAGAAGAAGACTCCCCTGACCGACACGTTGATTGACTTGCTGCATACCGAGTCCGACCTCGGGGTCAAGAACCAACTCGCAGATGCCGTCAAAGTTCTCCTGGATCCCCAAATTCCTCTGCAAGATACCATGGGCCGGGCGGGGCCTGAGAATTACAACAAACCGCGTCCGAACATCCTCTCTGATGCCTTTGTTCAGAACCATTTCGATGAATCCGCGAGGCGGCTATTCTGGCCGCTGAAACGACTCGAACATAATGACCACCGTATGTTTCTCTTGCAGAAAATTCATCCAGGGGTCTGACGTTGACTATAACCTTTTTAGTTCGAAACTTAAGCTTCCAGGATGTGGCGCTGTATTCCCATCTCGTTGATATTTTAACCTTTTTTGTCCGCCAACACCTATACCGGAGTCGGAATGTCATTCAAAACGAATCCCTTGCCCCTCGAATCGCTCAATTACTCACGGTACCCCACAAGCACCTCAAGCTGAGTAAGTTGTCCCTGTAACCAGATCATCAGCATGGGAAATGTTCTAATAGTGCCGTGTTCTCAGCTGCATTGAGATTTTTCCGTGCTTTGACTAGTCTTCAAGACACTTTCTACCAGGCTCTGATGACCCATAACAACATCTTTGGGCTCATCCTCGACATTGTTTATGAGACTATGCCCCGTGATAACCTTTTGAACTCGGCTTGTCTCGAACTATTCGAAGCGATCCGATGCGAGAACATGAAACCGTTTGTTCTCCACGTAGTGGAGAAGTATGGCGAAAAAATCAGAAACATCACCTACGTGGACACATTCCAGAGCTTGATTCTACGCTACGAGCAAATGCAGGGCTACGGTGCTGAGCCGGAGTCGTCCCTCATGTCGCATGAGGAGGCGATGCCTTCTCGAAGGATGCAAGCCGGCGGCCAGCGTTGGCAAGGTGTCGGGGAGATGGATGCTGCCGAGGAGGAGTATTTCAACACCTCTGACGATGAAGAGGTAAGCCCCTTGGTCCAGCATGGTCCCCTTTCGGTATCAGCTAACCATGGATATCAGTGGCAGCAGGAGAGTAGGCAGACCGCATCAGATGCTGCCCGGATGCAGAATGGCGCTGCGTCGCCCATCGTCAAACCGCTCGTCGATTACCCGGATGATGACGATGAGGACGATGCGATGGACACAAAACCAGAACCCAGCGATGGACAAGCGCCACAGAACCAGGAACAACCGCAGCAGGATGGCCCGGAACACGATGCTGCTGCCGGCTCACCCGCAGACTCACCGTCCACTCCGGTATCGACGCCTCAAACGCCACCCGAACGGTTGTCGGAAAAGCGTCGGCGCGAGGAGGAAGACGATGATGAGCTGATGAAGCTCACAGCTGGGCCTAAACGAAGAAGTTCAACCAGCGCCGGCCCCGGCACTGCCGGAATGGTGCGGAGGAAACGGAGTGTGTCGATTGGCTCGCTCTCCGCCAACGACAAGGGGGCAGCGCTGGGGACCCTCAACAGCAGTGCACCACCGAAGAGAATCGCGATCAACCTTAGCTCGGCCACGATCAAGGCGTCTGACCCAGGCTCGACCGATTCTGGAGCTGACCATGCGAGCAACGAGAAAGAAAATCGAGATGACAACCACAGCGGTGATGGTGGCTAATTGGAACCCACGAAGTCTTTGTTTGATGCCTTGATGGCTCTTGTGACGAGCAACCGTCTTTTCCATTTGCTGCAAGCATCGTTCGCGTTTCGTCAGAGTAACAGGATCTTTCCTTGCTTGTTTTTACGACAGCCTCCTAGATACCAGATGAAGTGATGTGTTTTTCTTTTCCCCTACCCTTGTGAGCCGGACGTATTTTAATGTACGATCGATCACATTGTGCTGTTCCTTCTGCATCCTTGCTGTTTTCATCTTTCCTTTTAGATATCATGTATTACGGACTCAGCTCTGCGGCGAGATCTTTTCTGTTCCGATTATACCTTTGCCCATTTATCTGATGGGCACGATGTACATCTACTCGCATTCTCTGCCACCTCTTTTCTTTTTATTGTACTGCTCGCTTGTCCCGGAGTTTCCGGTGCTGTTGCGGTTCTTCTCACGCATATGATGGGGCGCTTTCAGCCGTACATTCAAGGGCCACCAGGGTTCTCGTTTTACATGGACACTGTTATTTCGTGCGTGGTAGTGATCAGTTGAGCTAGGCATTCGGGATGATTGATGATCGTGGAATGGCGCGAGCACACCGTTGTCTCCATCGTTTAGCCACATTTGTGGTTCAAGGAGCCCTGGATAGGAGCATAGTCTAGCTGGAGGACACTGAAATGCATTCTCGAGGAAGACCGACTTGCACATACTATGTTGCCGCAGTCTAATCTTACCCGATCTCTTCGATGCAAACAACCGACCTGCCCACTGTAGTTAGCTGAGCACTTGTAGGGTAGCGATACTGTCCGTGCGTCTGGATGGAACGGCGTCTGGATAGAACGAATGATCGGCATGCGGGTCCCGAATCCACCGGGTGTTTTAACCCGGGAAACTCTCTTTCCTTCCACCCTGGATCGGCCAACTCAATATCTACTTACATCTATTCTCCCCTAATCGCAAGTAACTACAGAGTAGGCTACACCCCCGCATTGTGCAGACAGGCCATGGCCCCTTCAATGCAACCCCATGTCACCCCCGACAGCTTCTTCCACACAACCTCGCCGCCACGACCAACACTACCTACCAATCCACCCCCAGCCCCAATTCTAGTCTATTTTATATCCGGAAACCCAGGTCTCATCTCCTACTACTATCCCTTCTTCACCTTCCTATCCGACAAACTCCAATCCCTCAGCAGCAGCAGCAGCAAACAGAAAAAACCCCACCATCAATTCTACATCCACGGCCACAGCCTAGCAGGCTTCGAAGTCCAGCCTCAGTCTCCCCTTCCCACGCATTACCACAATGTGGAAGACCAGATCCAGTTCATCCAGCACAAGCTCGACTCCTTCGTGCAAGCCACTACTACTGCGCAATCATCTAGGACCGTTAGGCGGCCCCGCGTCATAATCATGGGCCATTCCGTGGGCACCTACATCGCCATGGAAGTGATCCGGCGCCATCGCGAGCGCCAAACATCTGCCCACGCCAATACCACTTCTACTACTGACTTCGGCATCATCGGCGGCGTGATGCTCTTCCCGACTGTCATGGATATAGCCAGTTCTCCCTCGGGGAAGAAGTTGACTGTACGTCTTCCAACTAACCCCCCGGAGACACAAAACACTCACTCCCTCACTCACTCTCCTCTCCTGAAACAAATCAATACTTACCAACAATATATTATTGTAGACTCTATTATCACTCATCCCCCACCTGGCACTAATCGTCTCCATTTTTGCCCGCTTCCTCACCACCCTCCTCCCAGACTTCGCTCTCCGTGCCCTAATCAAACTCTTCATGGCCGATCCGCCATCCCAGGCTGTCGATACTACCTGCGCTTTCTTGAAGAGTAAGACAGGCGTGAGGCAGGCTTTGTAAGTTACCACTAACCCCCATTATAAAAAAAAGCCAATGGTCAAAAGACCGCATATATTAACGTTTTGAATTGGAAAGACACATGGCCGCTGATGAAATGCGCACCATCACGACGGATAAATGGAGTGATGATGTCTGGGGAATAGCGTCCTCCTCCTCCTCCTCCTCCTCCTCCTCCTCCTCCTCCCCCTCTTCCTCTGGAGGAAATACAGACGACGACAAGGTGCATAATGATGATACTGACTCAACTTCTCGGATGTTCTTCTACTTTGGACGGAATGATCACTGGGTTGCGGAGAAGACGAGGGAGGAGATTATCCAGGCTAAGGCTAAGAGTAGTAGTAGTATGGTGGGGGGTCCGACTATGGTGGTTTGTGAGGATGGGTTGCCGCATGCGTTTTGTTTACGTGAGTACTATATACCTATTTAACTTTCGGTTCATCTTCTGCTGTTGGGGTTCAGAGTTGCTAATCTGAATGCGTGTGTATAGGTCATAGTGAAGTTACGGCGGGGAAGGTTGCGGGGATGGTTATGGATATTGTTGATGGTTGATGGTTGAAGGTAGTGGTTGGTCTATGTGACGGGGGAATGGTGTAGATATTTAGAGGGTTTCTGAATATGTATATTGCTATAGAAGGATGAATTATGGGTATCTAACGTGTCTAACATCTGGAAGGCGAAACAAAAGACAACGGCAAGTAGCGTCGCGCTATTGACCCCCCTGATACGCTAGTCCAGCCCTCCGGAACAAATCCCCAAGAACATCCTGCTGCGGAGGATTCGGATTTGCGCCTACGCCAGGCATCGCCGCAGCCGGCGGGTGCTGCTGCTGCTGCTGCTGCTGCCACTCGTTCGGCGCAAACTGATGTGCACGGACACTCCACTCATCATCCTGCGTCCGTTGTTGTCCAAAGAGATCCTTGAGCGAGATCTGCCGACCCATCGGTACACTTGACTGCACCTCTTCCAGCGGAGGCGCGGTCGCCGACGCTACAGCAGCAGCGACATGCAAACCGTTCTGCTGCGCGGCTTCAAATCGCTCGCGCGCGAGCTTCATACTCTGTCCGGCGTGGGTTGCGCATTCACGAATCATTTGAGCGTTGATGGTGCGCGTTTCCGCGGTCGAGTTAGGCGGAGGCTCCGAGTAGATCCAGAGACCGTAGATGCGGACATTGGTGCCGTCGTTAACACCTGGCTTGGTAGATCCGTTGGCGCCATTGATACCATTGCTGTTGTTGGCTCCTATTCCTTCCGTCTCTGGGCTGTAGTCCGATTTCAGGATGATGTAGTCTTCGGTGATTTCGACGTTCTCGCCGTCAGTGAGGAGGAGATCGAAGTTATTCAGACCTCGTCGGTTGAGCACAAAGACACTGTACCGCTCCTCGCCTAGAGGGCCTTGGGTGAGTTGGCAGACGAAAAGGGAGCCTTCAATGCCGTTCTTTTCCCATTGTCGGGAGCTGGGGCTGAAGATGTAGACGACGGCGTATTGGGCGAGAGAGAGAATGTTGGTGATGGAGGGGTTATGGCGGCGCAGGACGGAGAGGTTGAGCTCCTCGTTGGAGCGGAGCGGAGGAGGCATAGACGGCTCTTGGGGATCTTGAAGTTGCTGGGTATCAGAGAGGTAGTTGTGAAAGTCGGAGTCGTAGTCGGAGGGTTGGGCGATGCCTTGGCTGGGATGACGACGGTGGTTGTGATTGTTGTTGTTTGGACGGCGGGGCTTGCGGCCTGTCATTATGCAGGATGCCTAAACTCTGGGAGAGGAAAAGAGGAGAGGATAGGGGAGAAATAGGAGTGGAACTGAGGGAGATGGAGAGAGGACGGGGAAGAGGGGAAGCTGGAGCGATAGCAAGCTGGAGGAAGAGGGAGAGAGAGGGAAGATGCAGGATAACGTCGAAGCAACAGCTGGTGCTCTGTTCGGGAAGCGGTCGGGACCCCCGCGCGGTCTGGACTCGCCGTGCCAAACGACTGGAACTGTCCTCATCATCACCTCCATCACCACTTCCTCTGCTACGATTCCCTCTCCTTATCATTCCAATTGACCGGTCGGCTCCTCTTGTACATGTCCGCGGCGGATTTGCGATCGGTTGCCCTGCGCTTAGCCTCATCAATCCCGGCGTCATAGTATCCTCCGTCGGAACCCTTGCGTGCATCATCACCTCCCTCCGTTACATCCGATCGGCTTCTGGGATAGCAGGACCTCTACTACCTACAGTACCTCCAACTCGTCCATTACGATAGTCCCCAGCAAGGCAGATAATCAACTGCGCGAAAGAAACCCTCTCCTCCCCTCTGCACCGTGTGACTGCCCCTCCAGGTGAATTCTTAGCCGCCGGTCCTCCTACCCCCATAAGTCTATACGCACTTAGGCATATATTTATATAACGTCGAGATAACTTTTCTGGATCTTCTCGGCGTGCTACAGTCAGCGACTTCCCCAATATGGCTTCGGGCTCAGCGCAGCCCGCATCGCAGCCTTCGTCCTCGAGCGATTCTTCCAGTAGCAACGACCCCTCTCCCGATCCGTCGGTCGATCCCTCTTCGCTCCCGCAGGCTGTAAAGGCAAGGAAGGCTGAATATACCCATCAACAGACGATTCGTGTGAAAGTCGGCACCTGGAATGTCGCTGCCATTCCGGGCACCGAGAATGACATTGGGAAATGGTTCATACAGCGGGAAGGCGTATGCGAGCAAATATCCGGGCTTCGGGTCTCTGACTCGCAAGAGCAAGCTAGTGTGAGGAATGATGAGCCTGGGAATGGTGGAAGCCTAGCCGAGTTTGCGCCGGACAAGATCGGCCTTTACGTTCTGGGGTTACAGGAGATCGTGGATGTCTCGTCGCCTGCGGAGGCCTTGAGACCCTTTGTTGACCCAGCACCGTCGAACCGGTGGAAAGCAGCGGTCCAGAAAGCACTGCCAGAAGGCTATAAGCTTATTGCAGAGACTCAGCTGGTGGGCTTGCTTCAATTGGTATATGCGGCACCTTTCCTCGCCGATCAAGTGTCGTTCGTTAGCTGCACCAGTGTGGGCACGGGCCTGTTGGGATATATGGGCAACAAAGGTGCTGTTACAACTCGATTAATGTTGGGCGAAACGACATGCGTGGTCTTCGTGAACTGTCACTTGGCGGCTGGATCCGACAAGAATAGTCTGGAACGACGGAATTGGGATGCCTCGCAAATTGTCGGTCGGACGAAGTTTGAGCCCATCGACCCAAATGTAGCGCTTCGAGAAGAACCCGTCGAGAGTATAGGGAAGGAGGACTTTGCCTTTTGGTTTGGAGATCTCAACTATCGCCTGGAGGATATCCCAGGTGGTGACGTGCGACAAGTCCTAGCCCGGCATACAGCAAATGACTACGATGATAGACATCAATCCCAGACTGGACCTAAGGACAGCACTACATCGCTGGAGGCCACGGATGAAGCGCAGAAGCAGGACACAGACAGCCCCCTCCCAGCTGTTTCGGACGAGGATGTGGATCCTCACACCGACCCGGCGTCTCTACAAACCACCATATCGTCACTACTGCCCCATGACCAGCTTCGAATGCAGCAGGATAAGCGAAAAGCTTTCCATGATGGTTGGCGGGAGGGCCCAATCACTTTCCTACCCACGTATAAGTATGACGTGGGAAGTGTTGCTAGGTTTGACACAAGCGAGAAAAACCGAGGTCCCAGTTGGTGTGACCGAATACTGTATCGGACTCGCCAGGACAGAATGCGATACGAAAGACTGGCCAAAGAAGCTGCCGAGGCCAGAAAACGCGACGAAGAAATGAAAGCCCGGGGCTTGGATAAGGCAGTGGCGGACGATAGCGTGTTGTTTGATTATGACCCCGATGTCGACGGAGCGGACAGTGTGGAGGAATACGATCCAGATAAGGATTCCAACGGTGACGCCTCATTAGATCTGGACGACGATGCGGATAACTCGCTGCAGCTTGAGTACTATGTATCGCATCAAGGAATTCTCTCCTCTGATCATAAGCCCTTAGCCGCAGCATTCACGTTGACGTACGACTCGGTGGATCCGCAATTGAAAGCCAAGGTACATCAGGAGGTGGTCCGGGAGCTGGATAAGGTGGAAAACGAGTCTCGGCCTGGACTCACTGTTGTGGTGGACCACCACGGCAGTCAACCTACAAGTGAAGACCCCAATGCCGTGAACTTTGGTGACGTCCCTTTCGATGTGCCTGTCACCCGTACACTGACGGTCGCAAACACCAGCGGCGTGCCAGCAACTTTCACCCTAGAAAAGCCGGAGCAAGATGTCTCCAACCACACGCCATCCTGGCTGGACTACCGTATCAACCAACCACATCACTCCGACTCCGAGTCCGGCTCAAACCAGAAACCGCCGTCTCACGAGTGTACCCTGCATCCCGGGGAGATTGCCAACATTGAGGTCACAGCATGCGTTCGAGATATCAAACTGACCCGTTTACTGAACAGCGGGAAACTGAGTCTAGAGGAAATCCTCGTCCTTCGGGTTGCGCAGGGCCGAGATCACTTCATCTCCGCTCACGGCAAATGGCTGCCCACCTGTTTTGGCCGCTCACTACAGGAGCTAACCGTCATGCCTGAATCAGGTGCACGCAGCCTGGTCCCAGCCAAGGCACCCCAAGACCAGAAAGACACCCCAGGCGTGCCTTTGTCGGCTCCTCGGGAACTGTTTCGTTTGACGGAGGCCATATCCGAGATATCAGAACGTGCCATTGCCGAGTGGAGCATGACCAGGAGTGAGGCGGAAGAAGATACACCACCATGGATGAGAGAGACCTCTGGGTTCGGATGGCCCTTTGAGCCCGAGTCCTGGACTCTCCGCGATCAAGATGAACGATCCCATCTATTATCCCGAGCTCGCGAAGCACTCGACACCAACAAGGATTTCAACTCCGTTTTTGCCCCAGAGGTAACTTCACTCCAACGTCTCGAAATCCTCAGCGAAACACTTCTAGCATTCCTCGGATCCCTAAAGGACGGTATTGTCACTGCCGCCGTCTGGCAAGACCTCGACCAACAACTCCTCACTCGCGAAAAGACCAAACAACCCCCCTTATCCTGGGAAGACTCGCAGGCCTGGGTCCTCGAAAGCCTCGCCTTCTCCCCAGTTCACAGCGTCTCCTTCACCTTCGTCACGTTCATGTTAGCCCGCATTGCCAACGAAGTCGCCCCTGCATCCTCCATCCCCAACAACACCAACACCAACAACAACAACCGCGGTCCCACGCCCAACCTTCTAATCTCATCATCTGGCAACGAACCCCAACCAAACACAACCACCCAGAAGAACCCACCAGAAGATGCACCCCAGCCCGGTCCTGCCCCCGCCGCCTTCATCCGCCGTAAAACACGTACCTTCACCTCATCCATCTCAAGCATCGCAACCGAACAACCCTCACTCAATTCTACCCCTAGTCCAATGGCAATCCGTCGTCAAGCCGTGGAAACCGCTCTTGCATCCATATTCTCATCCGTTCTCATATCATCGGACATTACTGTGCCCGCAAAGGAGAAAGATCGGCGTGCGCTAGAGGAAAGGAAACGGGGGATCGTTGAGCCGTTTTTGAAGACTATTGGGGTTGATAATAAGGGGCCTTCTGGGGGTGGTGTTTCCTAAGAAGAAAGGAGAGGAGAGGAGAAGAGAGAGAAAAGATGATAGGCTTATAGTGGATGGTAGTTGTTTTTGTGTGTTACTACTCGTTATTATATATATATATGTAGGTGTGTATGTATATGTATAGAATTTTCTGCTTCGTGTCGGACTTCTGCTTCTGCACGGGTTTACTAGTTTGTTTATACATACTAGTTAGTAACGGTAGTAGTTGTGTTGAATGGTATACTCTACTACTCTGTCACTTTGGCAGGTGGTAGTAGTTTGAGTTAGAGCTACGGAGATACTACTCGCTGTCGGAAGGACTGGCCACGGCATTTACTAGTATGGTTAAAGGGTGTAATAGAACAATTGGCACCATCTGACGTGAGATAAGTCACTAGCTGATGTCATCAGTACACATTATATAGTATGGGATTGGTCGAAGACTTGGAGACAATCGACTCCAAAACAGCGCACAGTACTTTGCCATTGACTGTCTACAAGCCATCTCGGTCTACTTTGATAACTCCAATTCAACCAACAGTTCTCATCTTCGAATAGACGTAGTTAATACTTATAGTTCGAAAGAGGGCAAATCCAAGGAAACAAAAGAAGCGAAAAGGGACCCATAGTCCGTCTTCTATAATCTAGGTATATAGTTATGATCGGCCAGGTGCAACGCCGGTTGCAAGAATTATTGAATTTCTTTGATCTGACCAAGGGCCCGGGCATCTTTTCGCTCCTCTTCTGAGGTTGGCCGCGCTGTCTTCTTCGCTGATCGTGGTTTGCCGTGTGCTGTTTTCTCTTTTGTAGGGTGAGGTGTTGGAGAAGATTTTGAGAACAGTATGCCTCTAATATAACGCAAGCAGCTTCTCGACATGTGCAATGGGAGAGTGACAATGGAAATGAAGGCCTGCACAGGCAGTAAAAAGGCAGCGTAAATGCCATTGACTATCATAAGAAAAGCTCCCTGTGGCCGTTGAATGCTTGTTCGATGGGCTGTTGCCGCTAATGAGAAGGCGTCGTGCATCTGGGTTTCCAGGGCTTGGAGACGAGAATCCGTTTGGTAGGCAGAAACGGCGGTCCGTTTTTCATACCTTCGTACGGCCCGATTCAGCGCATCAATGTCTGCTTGGAAGGTCTTCCGCACTTCTGCAGCCGTTTGCGTGATTGCCGATTGAATCGTTTCCAGATCTTGCGTATGTGGCTGCGCCTGATCCACGGTACTGGCTGACAGACGTGCTGCAGCAGTCTCCGCTACGTGGGCTTCGAGCTCCTCAAGGCGCTTCGCAATATCATGCACATCTATTCTGTCTGATTCGTCTTCCGACGATAATGTGACAACTCGCTGGAGATGGAGCGTTCGCGCCTGTACCATTCTTAGAAGATGGGAGACAGGCCGGATCTCCGACGCCAGCAGGAATATCGTCAGGTTGTAGTTGGACACTAACCCTTCTGAAGGGCGCGACAACTTGGACCGGATGGCGTGTAGAATCCAGGTCCCAATTACTGGGAATACGAAGCAAGACACAAGAGCTATGATTTCGTGGATCTGTAGCTCCCTACTGGCTGCTGCCGCCGCAGTACTATCACGGAGCTTCTGGTCATCACTCTCAGTTGCATCTCCTTGGTGTGCCTGCGAGGATTGAGGGCCGTCGGCTTCTGATCGGAATGGCGAATCCGTGGCGTCAAAGAACCTATCTGCATGGCGGATAGCTTGTGCGGAGCGATACCAGTCCCTAGATGAAAATTGGCTTAGCATGTGACGTATGGGGATAGGGAGCGCGTGCCCTTACCACGGCAATCGAACGGACCAATTCAAGAAGACCGCGGCGAGAATCAGAAGGGTGACGTCGGTGACCACGGCACTTCCGTTCTGGAAAAAGATTCCGGCAACCGCAGGCAATAAAGCGAGGCCCAAGGGTGCTGAATGCCAGTGTGATTCTTCATTTGTCAGATTCACGTCATTTCTCTTGGCCGCACGTGGGAAAAGTATGTCGTCCGTGGATGACCGAATTGAGTTCCGCGCCTCAGATACTGTGTCGGACAAGGTGGAATTGCGACGTTGATTTCGCAGGTTGGCGGTACCCTCTGCAAAGGTTGCAGATCGGCCTGCACCGCGGTGACGGAGCGTCATGGACTCACGGGGATGGACGCGGGGGCTGCGGTCCTCGGAGGGAGACAGGGATGGATGAGCAAGCTCTGGCATGACACAACAAGCGCCTGACGTGATCCAGCTCTCTCACGAGTCGCTCATACTCATGAAGAATTTGGACAGTAGATGGCGAAGAGAGGAGAGGGTACGCGAAAGTTGAAGAATGAGGGAGAGAGAGGGGTGGGAGAATGGGAGTAAGTGAGGTGAGAGAGAGAACCACGGGAGATTTACCCTGTGCGATGCGCAGATCTCCCTTGCTCAGCTCCTACTCAGCTCCCACTTAGTAGTACTACGATCACAGCGACGCAAGCCGGGTCCGCGGGGGCGATCCGCAGCCGGAACCCCAATGACGATCCCTCGGGCGCTATGTTTCCCTGCTAAATGGTCAGGCCGTGCGGAGGAAGTAACCGAAGCCGTGAGGAGTGACGACAAGGGACCCACGCCTGGCAATGTGGTCGCTGGTTGCCGTTCCAAGGCTGCTTGCTGCAGGTGCCTGTTTGCTGCCTGCTCTTTGCAACGAACTCCCCCCGTACAGAGAGCACGTGGATCGATTCGGCTCTTATAGGATGATCGGACACTAGGCCGGCAAACTAAATATTTATGCACAGGCCCTGGGAGGCTAGCTGAGGGTGATGTCGGTCCCTTTCCTCCAGCCTTCATGCCATTGGAGTCGTTCACGCTGGTAACACCCGTTCGCAATTCCAATTCTTGGCAGATGCTTTCTGGAGCCGATGAGAGCCTAGTCTCTATGCTCATACGAATCTCGTGTGATCACTCTCCTAGCCGTAATGATTGAGGTGTCAGACATAGCGCTTCTCGTGATGAGCCTTGAAGGCGCTCAGAAGCACCTACTTGTTTTTATTTCGTCCAGCAAGGGCCATATTAAACGAGAGAAGGAGAAGAGCAGATAGTGGCGCTATCACTGGTGCTGGTTTCTGCAAATGAGTCCCCGTGTTGGTCAGACAGGAGGGATGTGTGTGTTGTGTGTGTGTGAAACCAGAGGCAGCGCAGGAAGGAAGTGGGCAGGATGGCGCTGAGTCCTTTGATACCAAAAAGGGGAATGGCCGAAGACAGCCCTGTTCCTGTTCACTGCACCTCCACTAACCCTCATTGCATCGCACCATTCTTGATTCTCCACCCCATTTCAGAGAGCTGTGTTCTGGTCTATTGGGGCCAATCCATAGGGGAAATTGTCACTCCTCGATCCCTTGACTGGACAACTCCCCTGGTTGTGTGCTGCTGGAACCCGTCGCAGTGTTTCCCAAGATGGCCACAACATATCACAGCACCCCTCGGTCTTTTTCGAAATTTGCTTCTTCTGTATCGCTTCAACTCTTACGAGAAGTGTCTCAATTAGGCCCCACCAGCATCTTAAGCTTGCTTCGCATTAACTCTGTCTATTCAGGGTTTGGAATCTCAATAAGAAGATCGCTGTTGCTCATGTGTCTGTCACTCGCTGTCTAGCTTGGGCTCGACCACCTTGTATTTCAGGATGGCATTTCTCCTCTTGGTAGGATGACATATTGGGTCATACCTACCAGTTGTTGTTATTCAATCATCTCTCTCATCTTGAGATTCGGCCATCGCAACGGGAGAGGTATCCAGCAGCAAGGTGCATGATTCGGATTCCAGCAGTTATCAGGCTCATATGCTCTGTTGATACGGACGCCCTTTCGATAACGAAGACTCAGAATGGCATCTTCAGTGGCACCGGTTTCTTCGCAGGCGATACTCCTTCCGGTTACTGCATTTGTCTCCGTCCTTCTCAGTATCATTCCTCTAGTCCTGCACTGCAAAAACCGAAATGTTGCAGCGAGCAGCTTGATCTTATGGTATATCCTACTCAACATCTTCAATATCATCAACGCTCTGATATGGCCGACGGATGACATTGATTCGTGGTGGGACGGCCAGGGACTCTGCGATATTGAGGTTAAAGTCATGATTGCCAGCTATGTTGCTATCCCCGGGACCTTGGTTTGCATTTTTCGCACCCTGGCACAGGTTTTGGACACGAGTCGCGCAAACCTCGTTCCAACCCAGTCGCAACGTTGGTGGAATCACGCAGTGGTCCTTTCGTTCTGTGCAATCGCCCCGGTGGTTGCGATGCTTACGCACTACGTCTATCAGTCAAACAGGTACATTCTGTATGCTATTGCTGGTTGCCTCAATAACTATGACCGGAGCTGGGTGACTCTCGTGCTCGCCTGGATCTGGCCACTTATCATCTGCTTGATTGCTGGATACTATTGCGGTTCGTCCACTGACGTCTGATGTCTCCCTTGCTTTGTAATGAATACTAACATTTGACTAGTCATCGTGCTACATCGCCTGACCAAGTACCGAAACCAATTTGGGGACATCCTCCAGTCCGCCAATAGTAACCTGACCAAGTCGCGATTCATGCGGCTGTTTCTGATCGCCTTCATTATGTTGTGGGCTATTATCCCAGTCCAAACATATGTTGTCGCATCGAACATTATCGTCACTCAGCCATGGCATTCATACTCGTGGAGTGTCGCTCACCCGCCTGACTGGAACGAGGTGATCAAGGTTCCCGTGGAGGGCCATGTCTTCTACGACCGTTGGATCCCGGTGGCTTCGGGATATATGTTCTTTATCTTCTTCGGTAGTGGGAGAGATGCATTCGTGATGTACCGTGCGGTCTTGATTTTCCTGGGATTTGGCAGATGCTTTACATCTCTTCAGTCATCCTCAGCAAACTGTTCCTCTGCGTCAGGATCCCTGGGTAGCCGAGCAAAGCTTCTATTCAATAGAAGATGGACAACCACCCCAAGGTAAGGGAGCCTGTACTCTTACGGATGCGCTACTCGTGTCTAACTCTGAAGCTACTCTAGGGCATACTCTAACAATTCTGCCGACGCAAGCCGATCTCTTCATGATTATCATGATATCGAAAAGAATGCAGTGTCACCAGGCAAGCAATCAAAATGGAGGTCACGATACGGACTGCTTTGGTTCTTGCGGGGTCGGCCTTCCGCCTCCAGTCGGGAAACAGCGATTCCTCTGCGCCATATGACCGAGCAAACAACCACAATTCGTACCAATGCCTGGGCTGGAGTGAGTCAGAGTCGTGGAAGCAGTGATCATGGAGTCGTGCCACTTTCGGAGGATCATATCCGGGTCAAGCAGGTAATCAGACAGGAGAGCGAGCTGCATGTGTAACAAGATCTACCGCTGGGGCGGATATTGTTTTCAAGCACTGGAAGGTCGCGCGGGATGGGGGGCTACAGGGTTTTATTTACGACTTATTCCCCCTTGGTACTCCATACCCTCTACTGTATGCTCTCTTATCACCCTGCCTTGGAGGACTGTTATTCAAACCCAAGATAATTATCCAGGAGTTCCCCTACTTCACGTCAGCTACCGGAACTACTTAGACTGATTACAATCATCCAGAGCGTAGCCGAAGATCAATCAATGTATTGTAAGTGGTACTACCAGACAGCTCAACGTGCCAGACGCGTAAAACGTGTCCTAAGTTTCCGAATACTTGCCTTTGCCTTCTGATATCATCTATTTTTATCAACAACGGCGGATTACGCGACACAGCCATTGCCTGAGCGGATCGTACGCGTCAACTACTACATGCAGCGGTGCAGCAGATAGAAAGCCGTAGTACGTAGATAAGTAAGTAGTACGGAGTAGCAGCAGCAGCAGCAGCACCTAGTATGGAGTGAGACCAGTCAGATTACACACAACTATTTATAGCAACACGAGCCCCAAGCAGACAGCAGACAGACAGACATACGCGCAAAAGTCATGCCGAGAAAAGATAAAGAGCATATCATATGAGAAAAGGAAAGAAAAAAAAAAGTATACTTTACACGAGAAGACTGCTAGACATGATACATATGGCCAAGGAAACTTTGGAACCCAAATGAGAAGAGTTTCTGATGGCAGGCTGGCTAGCCCATGGTGCCCGATTTTCACCGACAATTGAGAGAGAGAGAAGTCTGCATCGAACACCTGAGGCCAGCCAAGGAATAGATAGGGTGATGTCCGACTTCAAGACAGCTGCATCATCCTGCCGCCCGCCCGGTATTATAGAGAATTGCCAACCAACTCTTACAGTATTATCCGATCATACTTTGTTTCCCTTTTACTCCTCCTGCTGGTGCTGGTGTTGCTGTTCCTCAGAGAAAGCTTCGGGGTTGTACGGACGCTTGAGAACCTCGAGGGCGCCTGCGGAGTTATTAGGACATGTTAGTATTTCCGCAATACAGCATGGAAAGTATGTGGTTTGTTTCATCGTATTTAGGTTAAAGGAGGATGACGTACGCTGCGTGATGTTCAGGGCCGTCTGCTTCTTGCCCTCTGCGTTCTCCCACTGGCGCATGGTTGCGTCTCCCTCGACAAACACGAGAGTTCTGTGATAGAAATGGAGAAAGTTAGCGCAATGGACATTGAAATGTATGGGACTTGAAACGGTGCATCCGGAGGAAATCAATGGAACAGCAGACACGGATATCTGTGGTTCAAAGGCGAGACTGAAGTTGACGAGCAAGAGAACTTACCCCGTCTGCAGGTTGGTGATGAAATCGCGCTGGTTTCCCTCACTGAAGGCCGACACCTTGAAGAAGCTCGGCGGGCGCTTATCCCTCGAGTTCTGGTTAGAGGCCACGGTGTATCTGATAACTTCCTGGCCAGAAGCGGTGGCCTGCACCTCGGGTTGGCCAGCCAGACGACCCGTGATCATGATACGAGCAATGGAACGCGACGAGGAAGAGCTGAAGGAACGCGTGGACAGGGCGGCGCCGGAGGAGGCGCGGAGGGTAGGGCGCAGCGCAGAGGCAATGGCCGACATGTTGGAATAGTGGGAGAAGATTTGGGTTCTAGAAAAGAAAAAAAAAATAAGGGCAGTAGATGCACAGTGAGAGGAATGCTATAGCGAGGTATGGCCTGTGTCCAAGTGGAGTGAGTTGAGACGGCGTCACCGATGTGTCACGTGAAACTATATCCGCTATACCCCATTGGGCCCTCCACCTTCCCTTGTCTCTCTACCAAGTAAACTTATCTATCTTACACAAGATCCTTGATTGTAGGTCGGCTGTGCTTTACCCCTTCCTCTCCCTTGATCAATGGACTCCTCATATCTACGCACATTGCGTATTCAGAAACACCCAGTCTCCAGGCTGCTATCTGTTCAATCTTGCTTTGGCAAGCATGAAAAATAACTTTAGGTGATGCTTTGTGTGTTGCAGGTGCATGCATTTATCAATCATAAACTTTGAACCCTGGGAACATTAAGCGAGTCAACCGCTCAGTTACGAGGCAGTTGGCTTCAATGCAGCTGTAGCCTGTGAGATGTCATATTGTGAACCCATTGGGGAAGCAGCAAGGCACAGATGCGAGGTTTGGCCGTCAACAATGCATGCCTTTTAAGACTTCCACTTGCCCTTGAAACTCTGCTCACCGCACCTACCGTGCATTCTTTATTGGCATGTGCTGGCAGACATTGGACAGGATTCAACTAACCTCCAAAGTTCCCGTCGCATGGTTCGACCACAAACGGCGCATTGCTCGACACCGCTCGACCTCGACGGAAGCCCTTGTTCACACATACTTTGCTTCCCGGCCGCTAAGTTTTAATGCACCTTATTTTAGCCATGGGCCGAGAATCCACTCGCATATATCTACCGTATACTTCCTAGGATCAAGGATTCCGTGTGGCCCGGACTACTTTGTCAATAGTCACGGAGAACCCCTGGGAAATCAGGCCATGTCGGATATTAGGCTAGCAGCACGGTCCATTGAGAGCACGGCGTTGTCTTTGTCAGAAACCCCAATGAGCATTGTCCTCCGAGCCGGGGGCACGATAGGCTGAAAACTCCGCGATTGAAATTAGATGTGTCTTGACCTGCAGCCGATCACACGAACAGCCTAACTATGGGCGGCTAGTAGTGCTAGTTCTGATCGCCAAATCGCGACGATCGGTCGTCGCGTCCCTGGATCGTTGCAAACCAAGTTACTCCGTAGCCTGCGCTCTATTGAAAATCTTAATCCGGACCATAGCCCGCGACAAGGCAGGGCTAGAGCCAATCTTCTCTTACGCTCAATATGTCATCGCCCTTCCGTGGCCAAGTAGGCCAACGCGTTCAGCCAACCTATTGAAGCCCGGCCATCGCACGCTTGCATTCGCTCTTATGCTCTTCCTTCCAGGCTCCCGAGACTTGCCGACATCTGATAAAATTCTGGCCTGTGACATACAATTGACCCTATTCCCACTCATCTCAAAGGGGGGCTCACAGTTTCGAACCGATTAAGTAGGTGGATGTGTATGCGATTGGGAGACAAAGATTCTTGTCCACTTCGCTGCTCTTTATAGAGGATGATGGATAATGTCTAAACACGATGCATGGAGTACCCCATGCTTATTCGACAACTCCAAAGTCAATGAATTGCAGGGGCGGATCCTTGCCAAATAATTCCATTTAACATGCACAACCATGCGAAGGATATTGCTTTTTTGGGCGACAGGGAGTGGATCAGCCCGCATCTTTC